GACGTAATCAAACCAAAACCGGTATAAAACTAAAAACAGGTCCCTGCAGGGTGGGCTGGTAGGAATATTGGCAAAGTAACGTCACGGTGCCTTCGAACTTCGCCTCGCAAATGGTAATCGGCTGTGGGCTGTGTGTGAATTTGCCACATCCCCAAAAGCGAAGTTCGCAAATGAGATAATGTGACTTCCAAATGTTGGGTGCAATAAGACATATCAAGTCTCTGCGCTGTCTATTGCTGATTTTACACCCAACAGCACGATATTTCACTTCGTTAAAGTATTGAAAGGGGACGGACGGACGCACGGACACATTAATCTATTGCAGGCTGGTACACTCAGTTTACAACTTCGTTCCTACCAGTATAAAATAACCTTATCGGTTCCGAGGCTTTCTACAAGGCCATGCCGGGAGGGCGTGTTGCACAGTTTGGCGCCTGCGATCATAGAGCGCGGGCGTGTCGCTCCAGTTTTCTGCGGTGAGTACAGTGTCTTTTAAAAACAACGACCCTACTCTAAATTTAAATTAAAGCCGAGCCGCTTGCGCGTTCCGAGATTCAGCGGCGAATGGGACCCCACCCTGCAACTTGCAGATTGACAATCTGGGCACTTGCCCATTGGTGAAACAAAACTAAGTGTAGGACACGTTGACCCTCTCACATTTGCTTTGGACAGGTGTCACCCTAACGTCCAGTGGGAATGGCGTTTCGATCAAAAATTGAGTGAGTGTTGATCGCGCGTGCGTTTATCTTTTTTTTTTGGTCACCTGACTCGCACCCTGATCTATAAACGTTTCCTGTTCAGAGTTTCGCCAAAATCATTACGAGAATTAAAATTTCCTGAATTTCGAACCGACGCCATTTTGGCGGCTTCACAAATCACCGGCGGAGATGGGTGCAAGAGCGGCGGGGCAGCGGTGTAGACTTTGGCACACCGCGCTACGTAACCAGCCCACCTGAGTTGGATTCCCAACCAGGCTTCACAGAGATGCTGTTTCGTGTCTCGCATACCACGAACACGTATGGCTTGAGCGGTGGCACAGGGAATAACGCAGTGTTTGGTGCACTGTGCTTGCGAACCGGCGACCCCAGTTCGATGCCCGGCTACGGCAACAGAACAAGTTGAGGGATTTCTGAATCGCTCCTAGATGCCCCACACTAACACCCACCCTTCCATCAACCCTCACTGACCAGCGTGATGAAATATGGTCAAAGAGAAACCACCCTATCACCCACGCTGCACGGAGGAGGCTTTCATTCATGATCAGCATCTTAATTTAGACTGCGGGAGGAATCCGATAAGCTTTCAAGCTTTTTTTCGCAGATGCCCGGTATGGGCGGGTCAGCCAGTACACGGTGGATTGACGAAGGGCTGTAAACAATGATAAAAATAATAGCGCTAATGTCACTGTGAGCGGTGATTTTTAATTCAGAATGGACACTGCTGCTCTGTAATCGGCCGATTTACGATTGGCAACGGTCACTCGGGTCTGCCGCAGGGAACATCGTCGGGCCTCGCGGCGGCGGCGGCCACATTAATAAATAAATTGAAATCTATTGAGAGGTGTGGCTGGGTGACTCGGAGGGCAGAGCCCTGGGCCGGCACCGCAGAGATCCTGGCTTAGAGTCCGTGGTTTCAGGATCTGTGTGGGCCAGAGGAATGTCCGAGGTAGCTCTCTGTGATGTCCGTAATTACGATCGTTACGATTATGGGTTCATTGTCAGTATCCATGTAACTCAAAAGCGCTCGCCTCGCCTTGCTTCTTTGCGCACTCGTCAGCTTTTGGCAGTGCCTTCATCGAGCAGTGGATGGGTCATGGCGGGCGATGACGATTTGCGTTAGTATCACGAGCGGTGGTGGGTGGGGGTTGCATGGTGTAGAGGGTGAAACCCCGCTTCGTTTGTGCTGCTGCGTTTGTACATTTTTAGCGCTTGTCTCGAATATATTTCGGCGCACGAGAAACAAAACATCCTTGGCCTTGACTCGCGTGGTCTACTGGGTCACGTTCGCCTTGCCGCAGGAGTAAACAAGTTTTGCTCGTTAAGAGCAGAAAATAACATGAGCTCCCGTTCGGTCGGCCAAGTCTCCTCGTTTTTTTTTTTCCACGAGCGCTCCTCGTAGGCGTCGGTACGCCGGCTCCCCTAGCCGCCGTACCGATGCAGGGCATTGGTTAGATTCCCCGCTACACCGCCCCTGGGAGCCCCCGCATTATTTGGCTGCTGGTATAAATTCCCCACGTTCATGAGCCACGTCGTTGAGCTATCATTTGTGATTGCCGGGTCGCTTATGAAAAAGAACGATATAGCTCACTGGGGCTTACCCGGTAAAATAAAAAAAAAAATTTAGTTGCAATTCATTTATTCGTTGTGATTTGCTTACCTTTCCTAATACTTTGCGCTCCTAATATTTTTTTGTTTCTTCTATATATATTGTTTGTTGTCGTAACTTTCTAACTCGGCCCCTACTGGACATCTGTGACAAAAGAGCTCCGTAGCTCGTTGGAAATCTCGAGGATAAATGAAAGATTCCGGTACTCACTTTGTGGGCCTGTCTCTCCGTCCTCCTCCCCCGGCGCTTCCACGTTTACCTCCTTCTATGCGGTGTTCCCCTTATTGCAACAGGCCGGCTTCCCGGCCCGCGCTCGGCAACTCTCTCTTTCTTGGCTTGTCTGAAATGACCGCCTTCCCCTATTTGCCGTCTCGTCACTCGTAAGCACACGCTCGGCTCCGACTTTGCACGGTTGGCTACGTATGCTGCGAAATAAGTTCAGCGTACGTTCATTGCATACGTGCGGTGGTTAAGGTGCAGCCCTGCAATTTACGTGGCTTACACCACCGCTGCCGGAAGGTCCTCCGCTAGAGAGAGCTTTAGAGAGCCGTCTTGGGAGTGTTTTTGCCTTGCCTTCCACACCGGCTGGACGTTTTTGAAGAGGTGGGTGTCCCCACACTTCACCCCACACCCGTCCGACTGGCTGCGGTTGCGTGCCCATTTATACTGCTTCGCGGAAGAGAGAGGCGCGGTGGTGGGTGGTGGGATTTAAGAAACCCGTCCCGTTGTTTAAGCTGCCACGCCGGAGAGACGGAATCGAACCGGCGACCTCTGGCTTGCAGGCCCAGTGTTGCCTACCGGCATTACACCACAGTAGCATTCCCAAGCACACAAGTTCTGTCAAACGTTAGGTTTCCGTCGCGCTGCAGGAGAGTGTGGGGTGACAGCCCCTTCTGTTAACGGGTGGCTTGGCCATCTCAGACAGATGCCATATGTCACGATAAGGAGCGGGGCAACAGGGCTCATGGGAGTTGTTGTGGTGGTGATGCTGGTGGTGGTGGAGGGTGGGAGGGGGGGTAGTGGTGGGTCAGTGGAGATGAGCATCACCACATGACCTTTGACACGGGTGGGCTGCAGGGACCCAACCTCCGAGCAAATCCATAATGCTCACCTAACTCCTGACCTTTGCTACCCCCGCATCACACTCTTACCCTATCCACAACAACTGCCGCTCTTAGCCGGGCGGGTGGTGGCTACGCACGTGGCCTGTAATCCAGCACTTCCCTTTGCTTGCAAGGAGAAGGCCGAAGCGATAGTGTGGACTCCCCTCCACCTGTCCTGTCTGTACGGCTAAGTGTTGCCCTGCGGGCGTGTGGGTACTTTGTTCGTGTGCCCATACTGACCAACCAGATGTCTTGGATTATGTGGCAGCACCTGCACATGGTCACAGGTGGCACGAAGTACAGATTGGATAATATGTACGTTTAAAATAGATTATCAGAATCAGAATTTTTTGTTCATACTGGAGGAATCCGATGAGCTATGAAGCTCTTTTTCACAAATGTTCAGTCAGGGTAGGTCAGAAGGTTACAACAAACAATACAAAAACGCGATCGGAGTGCAAACCATGGGAAAGTTAAATCATTTAAAATATATATACAAATTAATCGAAACTTTTATATTTCCATTTAACCAGGTCAAGCCCAGTGAGCTTATTAGTTTCTTTTTCAGAAGCGACCTGGCCACAAATGATAGCTCAACGAAGTGGCCTTATCATCGTGTGGAAATGTATAGCGGCTACATAATCTAAATAAATACGTGGGATGATGGACAAGTGTGCTGTTTGGGGAAAAATGGAAAGAACCGGAAAGAGTGGAGGAGCTGACAGAGAATGGGCTTGACGACGACGTAAGAGACGGTGCCAGACAGATATGGCGCACTGCTTGAGCATACTGTCACGACCAAGACAGAGGAAAGTGGAAACAAATGACAAAATGTGCAGTGGATGATGATGATGAAATGATCTAAAAAGGAGGGCACTGAAAGCGGCGGCGATTCGCGAGCGGTGACCTTGAATTTTGGGGACAACGGTGCAGTGACGTCGCACTTTCGCCACCGCCCCCGCGATATTTGATCATTCATCATTGGGGATAATTCAGGACGGTTGTGCTTTTGACATATACTGTATATTAGTAATTTGCCATGAGCCAAATTGCCGTACCGACTGGTCCAATTTCGGCACACACACGTGGTGTGACAATGACTCAGTCCAGTGGTGGCGCGCGTGGTGAGCATTGGTGCAGGCCCATTGCTTTGGACTTTAACTTTGTTTATGCGCTCTGTGCAAGCCAACACTTTCAGAATTGTCGTCTACACCTCCATCAAGAGGTAATGGAAAGGGTTCGAAGTATAAATCCCTTGGTCTCTGAGAATTGATGCAGGTGTGTCAATGAGTATCGTGTGTGAAGAGTTTGGAAAACAAATTTGGGAGAAATTTTTTTATTGGAGTACCATTGTACATACTTCAGAATATTGGATAATTTCGCAAAGGCCAGAAACCCCATATGTGTTGCATTAACAAGTGTTTACTGTACATGCACCATGTTTAAGTGTGTGTGTGTTGAGCACATATAATGCACCTTATTCTCATGCACCGCAATCCACATCCACACGTACGACGCGTTGACAACTGCGGTGAGGAACACAAGTTTTATTGTTTAAAATAAACTCCCCCACTCCCGCCCACCACGACCAAAATGGCAATGTCCACCAAAGGGAGCAGCAGAGAGCCCCTCTAAAGCATCCATTTTGGTCCGGTGCTGTTCCTTCCGCCTGTGTGAGTGTGTGCGCTGGTCTTGGTGCGTGCATCGCTACGTATTGTTCGTGCGAATCGTTCGCTACCAGACCACCTGGTATGGGGAGCAGTCTTCATGTTAATGTGAATCCATTGGGATCTCGATACTTGAGCCATGGTGGGACGTCTTCAGCGTCACGGCGGGGACGCCGACGGCGCCGCGTGCGGCGCGGACGGGCAAACCACACCGGAGGACCAGCTCCGGCGGGCGCATCGGTGGTGGTGGCGGCGGTGGCGGCGGTGGATTGTGGCGGAGTGACGAGCAGCGGTGTTTTTTGCCCGCGGTAACCATCACGAGCGCTGGTACCCGGCGGCGATGTAACGATAGACATCAGCGAAGGGATGCCTCGCTGGCTAGCGTCGCGAGCGCTGGTCTTTGCCGGTGCTGGAAGTGTGGGCATCAGTGGAGGTGGGCTCAGCTGGCAGGGATCATGGGACTTGGTCTCCGCCGGCACTGGAGGGGTAGGCATGGGTGGGCTCAGCTGGCAGGGATCCTCAGCGCTGGTCTCCGCCGGCACTGGAGGGGTAGGCATGGGTGGGCTCAGCTGGCAGGGATCCTCAGCGCTGGTCTCCGCCGGCACTGGAAGGGTAGGCATGGGTGGGCTCAGCTGGCAGGGATCCTCAGCGCTGGTCTCCGCCGGCACTGGAGGGGTAGGCATGGGTGGGCTCAGCTGGCAGGGATCCTCGGCGCTGGTCTCCGCGGGTGCTGGAGGCGTGGGCAGCAGCGGAGGCTGGGGGACGTGGGCTTGGTTGCGGCCGCGTCTGCTCGCAGCATTGCGTGCGCGTCTTCTCCGGGCTGCAGCCGCCCGAAGAGCAGGGGCGAGGGCTTGTCTGTGGCCTCTGACCCTGCCCACAATGGGCGCCACCAGCATCGTTGGTTTCTGCAATTCAGCACAAAATAAACCGGATTGAATGTCTTCAAAGGTAACAAAGATAAAGGTGCAAATCCTGAAACTGCCTGCTCAAGCCACCGCCAGTGGACGGGCCTACACTAAAGAACTCTCGAGCGCGCCTATTGTAGAGGGCATTTGGCCTACGTTACACTGGAAAAAATTGGAGTACCCACACTTTTCATCGCTAAACAGTCCAATCGGTTGAATGGCTGTGGTGTAGCCATTTCTGCTGCTGAGTGGATAAGATACTGGGAGGCATTTAAACCAACTTGCCCTTGGTTTCAGTGAGAAACGCTGGGACACGGAATGGAATCTGGGAACCTCTGGATTGCAAGTGCAGTATATCGTATCAAACGTATATTTGAGCTGTGTCATCATTTTCCTTTATATATTAGAATTTTTTTTATTTAACAAAATGTGAGCATATTGTAGCCTGTCGCGCACTTTGCAAGTCTGGGGGAGTCAACAGTAGTGGAGAACCGTCTAATATCGGTGGCGAATTGCATTTGAACCAACAATTAATCTTCACCTTTAGAAGACCAGCTCGGACTATCTTGGTGAAGTGTGGTCAAAACAACCCCGCGAATAACACGGCATGGGGGAGGCCGTCATCCAGCAGTGGATTAATCATGACTGGTGGTGATGATGAAATATACCAGTCCAATAACAGTTGCAGGATCAGAATGTTTATTTATACTGGAGGAATCTGATGAGCTATTAAGCTCTTTTTTATCAGCTGTCCAATAGGGTTGTGTAAGAACGTTACAACAAACAGTATAAAAATATGACAGTAGTGCAAAGAACAAGGTAAACAAATCACCCAAACACATAAATAAAACATTAAGAAAACTAAACCATCATCCTACCAGGCAAAGCCCACTTGGGCTATTAACTTATCTTCTTAGAAGCAACTTGGACATTAACGGCAGCCAAAATAATAATAATAATCTCTGTAATCTCAACGCGAGCTTCTAACCGCCCGCTCGCTCGCTCACCTTGCGACGCACAGAGAACCACAGCTGCACGAGGGTGATGACGACTTGGCACAGAACGTTGAGGCGGTCGAAGGTTTTGACTTTGGCCCAGAGTGGGAGTCTGCCGAAGGGACGCTGAGCCTGGACGTTGTAGACGGCCGAGGTCTCGTTGGTTCTGTTGGGACAGCAGCAGACGGACAACGTCGACAACGTGAGACGGGGGGGGGGGGTTACATGGGGTCCGCTCCCTTGGGAGCCCCGTCGCGTTGGTTCGCGTTTGCGTCGCGACCCGGGGGGGGGGGGGAGCACTGCTACGGGGGGGGATGGGGGTGGTGGCCCTGCTACGTAGAGGAGGGGGTTATGGCCCTGTTACGTAGGGGGGGGCCCTGCTACGTAGAGGAGGGGGGGCCCTGCTATGTCGGGGGGGGGGGCTGCTACGTAGAGGAGGGGGCCCTGCTACGTAGGGGGGGGGGCCCTGCTACGTAGGGGGGGGGGGCCCTGCTACGTAGAGGAGGGGGGGCCCTGCTACGTAGGGGGGGGGGCCTGCTCCTTACCTGGCCGCGTCGTCCTCTATCCGCCTGGCGCGTCCACCGCGGGGCCGGATGGGCTCCCGTCCCCACGCGGCGTGCGACGTTGCGGGGCTGCTGGCGTCAAACGCGACGGCGTCTTCGCCGTCTCGGAGAGACGATTGGTGGTTGCTGTTGTTGTTGTTGTTGATCATCTCGTAGAAGGTTGTTGTTGTAGCGTTATCGATCGCGGACATCGCTGGCTGATCCCCACGATGGATTAGGAGGATGCCCAGAAGCCACAAGACGGTTTTGACGCAACTCGCCATGTTTATGAAGAATTTTTTTTATTTTATTTTTAACAAAACAAAATAAAATAACAAAAATTCTCCTCAGCGATGTCAAAGTTCGCGGCTGCCCTCTCGCGGCGCGTCCCCGAGCGAGCGAGCGAGCGGCGTGACGTCAGCGCGTGACGACAGCGCGTGACGACAGCCAGTGGATATTACGTCACTAGCACGTGACGGACACCACGTGGGGTGGGGCGGTTTTTGAATGGCGGTGAACAGAAAGAATCTTACGGGTTACAAAGGATGGACTTGTCCCCGTCGTACGAACGTGGAAATGCAACCGCTTACTCCAGGGTCCGTAAACTGATAAGATGAACACCGCCTCTTACGCCCACTTTTGCAGCAAATAGCTCTGAACTGACTCGTTTGTGTGTGTTTGATGTTTACTAGATGAGTTTACATTTATCTTCTTTGGTTCTTTCGGTAAAGTCACGTAGAATGAGAATAAAATAATAAATTGATAAAATAACACAATAATATTCTCACGACGTTTCGGCCACAACACAAGCGGCCTTCATCAGGTGAAGGGACGAGACTGTCTGGTAGGATAGCGTTGATGAAGGCCGCATGTGTTGTGGCCGAAATGTCGTGAGAATATTGTGTTATTTTATTTTATCAATTATTTTATTCTCATTCTACGTGACTTTACCGAAAGAACCAAAGAAGATGAATCATTGCAGTCACGAAAGCTTTAAATCGAAATTGAGTTTACATTTCCTTTTTTAAATACATGTAAGGCCCTATCAAAATACTTTATCTTAAAACCTTCAAGTTTATAGATCGCAAAGTTTAATGTAAATGAATTAATTTCAATAGCAGTGTGAAATGTGCATGTGAGTTTTCATTGTGTGTATACATTTCCATCTGAATTGTACAAGTACATCTCAATTGCATGTTTGAAGACTATTAACTTTTAAGTATTTATCCCTCGGTGGCTCTGCGGCTGAGTAAGCAAGACCCACGTAAAGTTAGTACAGTGCCTCTGTGTGAGTAAGTTCACACTGGTTGTTAAATGGATGGACTTAACCCCGTCATACGATTGTGGAATTTCAACCGGTGGACTGCAGGGCCAGGAGATGAACACGAACTCTGATGCTTCATTTGAGCAGCAAATCACCTTTGACGTGCCTTTACTTACACTGAGAGTTAACCATACTGTACGTCTAATTAATCTTTAACAAATGAGCGGTTCCTCTACTCCACAAAGTTAACCCACTGCTCACTAAAGAGCCCCCCCCCCCGTGTTTTCGCTGCACCTCTGAGTGAGCTCTTGTAGAGTTTTAAGCACGAGCTAAAGTTAGCAAAAGTTATAAACACAAACAGTATTCACTTGACGCCCTTGTCCAGAGCCTACACAGAGCACCAAACTTACACACAATAAACACTTTGCTGGCTCTCTTGACTCTGCCTGTATCTTTCCCCTCCCCCTTCTATCTCGGTGTGTGTTGTGGTTATTTTTAAAACAAATAAACAGTTTAATTAACTCGCGGTTACTGTACAATTTAGTTTTGCCCTATACTCCGTTGAGCTACTAATTATCATTTGTGAGAGCCGGGTCGCTTCTGAAGAATAGAGCCACGATGTTGTGGCTCAGTGGGGGCCTTAACTGAGAAAATAAAATAAACTTTATCGTGTTCTGGGTTCTTTCGGTAAAGTCACGTAGAAGGGAAACAATTAAATAATAAAAATATAAAACAGTACAATTCTGACGACGTTTCGACTGCAATGTAAGCAATCATCATCAGGTGTGAAAACCACGGCAAGAAGTTTCTTATTGTTTCCCTTCTACGTGACTTTACCGAAAGAACCAATAATATGAATCCCTGCAGTCACGAAAGCTTTAAATCAAAATCTAAACTGTTTATCGTTTTAGTTCGCACACGCGCGTGTGATCGTGTGTGGCGTTGACGACTTTGGGGTTACTGAATCTCTTAAACAAAAACAACATTCGTCATTTAACAATTAACGCAAGACACCGATTCTGTTCAACAATTGCTGCACTGTTTTTTTGTCCCGTGTCTTTCTGTGTCTACGTGGCTCTGTAACTCTGCGATTAGCACGGTCGGCTACGTACGGTGCGAAAGAAGTTTAACGCGCACGCTGCTGTGTCTGCGTTTGAACTTTGTGTGGGTTGGGTTTGGTGGATGTCCATGCGTGGGCAAGCGAGTGTGGTTTTTGGTGTTTCTAGTACACTTGCCTCAAGGTGCACCTAGCCTGGCACAAGCGCCGTGTGGTTGACGTCTCCTTGCCAACTTAGTCGTGAAAGGCGGCGGCTGTTTGTTGTTGTTTCTAGGCACTGGTTGTTGAGCTATCATTGAAACGCTCTACAAAGACAAAGATCCCCCGTGTAGCCGTTACAGACTTTCGGGCAAGTGCTGTAAGTGAGCACCTGCGAAGGCCGGCGCTGTGGCACACGAGGGCGTGGTGGCCAGTACCACGCCCGACCGCCTTTGTCTCCCTCGTGGCGGTGTGCCCATTACGGTATAAGGCCATCAATAATTCACCTGCACAACTAATCGGCTTAAATTCTAATTTTGCTCAGGGGCGGGTGGTAAAATATAAAAAACCCCACTTATAATTAACAATAAGAAACTGATGTTTATTTTATTATTTCACCCCCAGGAGAGCCTCACAGTTACTGGACTTGTTCAGGCGGGGTGGGGGTCTCTGCAATATTTTTCATCCAATGTTGCTGTTGTGTGCTGTGTACGTAATCCCAATTTAACTAATTTTTACGGGATTTGTTTCAGGATTGCGATATGTATGGCCGGATACCAGTTACCTTGTAGGGTAACTACTGTACAGTTTTAACAGAGGCACAATCGTAGAGACACTCCGCGCAGGCACACCCGAGTGTGGAATCGAACCCAGGTGGCTTGTGTGGTCGTGATGAACAACAAGTGGTTAGCTTGCTGCATTCGCCACGCTAATTCAAACTGGTGTCGCGATCAAATGCATTGATTTTGGCTCTGACAAGGGGGGGTGGGTGCAGGAACCAGGTCCAGCCTAGGTTCCCATGATGTCTCCCAATGGGTCCATACCTCTCCCATCCACGTGCCGCCAGGCTACGTGTCGCATGCGAACCCCAGCACAGCACCGACATTTCCAGTTGTATTCTGGAGAAACGCCGCTTATCCTCCGGCCCTGTTAACCGCACGCGGCGACTCGAAAGATTTGCGGATAACGGGATGATGCCGTTCCACGGTGCTGGGATGGGAAAACAAACGTGGATAACCGCGGGTGAATTGAAGAAGAGGTGGTGCGAGCAATAGGGTTTTTTTATGGACCGTGTATAGGACCGGCGGATAACAGGATCCAAGGGTAATATCTGTGCGGACAAGAGTTGTATTTGCACTCTTGTTTTCTCCCATGCGTGACACAATACTGAGAAGGTCCTGGTCAGGTATTTTGCAAAGCAGGATTCTCACCACAGCTTGTTGTGAGACTCATCAAAGCTTTACAGGACACATTTGTTGTATTATAATTGTTATTCAAAATAGATTTTAATTGGGTTTTATTTTTTTATGAAACGTGCTGGGTGTTTTGATTAGGCTTTAAAGAGATATCATTATGAGTTCTAGATTTGAAGCTTTCGTGACTGCAAGGATTCACACTCTTTGGTTTTTTCGTTAAAGTCACGTAGGTAAAATAAAATAAATGAAAACAACTCAATTAAATCACGACGTTTGATACAGCAATTTTGCTGTGACGGTTTCCACCCGAAGACGGAAGCTTGTGTTGCCTCCGAAACGTCGTGATTTAATTTAGTTTTCATTTATTTTATTTTACCTATGTGACTTTACCGAAAAAACCAGTTTATAATCATGACTTAAGTCGTCTTTAAACACCAAACATTTGAGTAACATCGATTTGCTTATGAAGAATGCAGCTCGGCAGACCTTTGAAAATCCACTGCTAGATGAAGGCCTTCCTTTTGCTGTGTTGGTGATCAGGGTTGTTTGACCATACTTCACCACACTGGTCAGCGTGGGTTGGCGAGGAGCAGTGCTTCAGGTATCACTCAACACTGATGTTGACCATGGCTTGGAGTTGAAGTCGAATATCCCACTGTCGTGCATTATATGTATGTTGAACTTCTTTCACACTGTACCAAGCCAACTGCTAATGGCAGGTGCGTTAACCACTGCTGCACTCTTGAGAGCCTCTTATCCATTAAATGTCAAATAAATTCCTGACTGACACTCAATGAAACCTTTCGACGTACGTGTATGTCATCGCTTTTTCTTCCTATTCCATTCCGATGACGTAATCAAACCAAAACCGGTATAAAACTAAAAACAGGTCCCTGCAGGGTGGGCTGGTAGGAATATTGGCAAAGTAACGTCACGGTGCCTTCGAACTTCGCCTCGCAAATGGTATTCGGCTGTGGGCTGTGTGTGAATTTGCCACATCCCCAAAAGCGAAGTTCGCAAATGAGATAATGTGACTTCCAAATGTTGGGTGCAATAAGACATATCAAGTCTCTGCGCTGTCTATTGCTGATTTTACACCCAACAGCACGATATTTCACTTCGTTAAAGTATTGAAAGGGGACGGACGGACGCACGGACACATTAATCTATTGCAGGCTGGTACACTCAGTTTACAACTTCGTTCCTACCAGTATAAAATAACCTTATCGGTTCCGAGGCTTTCTACAAGGCCATGCCGGGAGGGCGTGTTGCACAGTTTGGCGCCTGCGATCATAGAGCGCGGGCGTGTCGCTCCAGTTTTCTGCGGTGAGTACAGTGTCTTTTAAAAACAACGACCCTACTCTAAATTTAAATTAAAGCCGAGCCGCTTGCGCGTTCCGAGATTCAGCGGCGAATGGGACCCCACCCTGCAACTTGCAGATTGACAATCTGGGCACTTGCCCATT